GCCACAGGGTCAGATTTTCGGTTTTTACTTGGAACAATGGTCAGATTTGTTAACACTTTCATTTTTTATTTGGATAATGCATGACTAAACAGGGATATGAACGCAGATTTAATATAGACGCATAGAATTACGGGGACCGGCAAGGATTTGGAAAGTCTGATTACAAATCCTGCTTACACCTAACAAGTGCTGAAATGGGACATAATAAGAGGTAGACAGGTCTCGGAAGCACTTGGGAAGAGGCTTCCCAAGACCTATCCAGTTCTGAACGGAAAGACCTAAGTAGAACTTGTCAGGTCCAATTATTCGACTCGGGATAGATCCACGATATTTGTTGGAAATGAACAATTTGGAAATATTTCGTAAATTCTTTCAAGATAATTAATTCAATATTCTGTTCGTGTTTTTATTGTTGTGTTTTTTATTTCTTTACGCAGAAAATCCGAGTAATCACTCAATTTTTTATTATCATCAGTTGATTGTCGATGTTTTATTCCCTTGAACTCGAATTTAGGGGAATGTTGAACCCTTTGTCGAGTGAATTAAGAGATTGAATAAATCCCAAGGGTTTAAGGGCTGTAAACGAGGAGGAGTCGGGGGTCACCACTCGAATTATACGACGTACGTGTTGTACGGAAAAAATAGTCCATCTAAAGAAGACTGTCTAGTCCGTTTTTACGAGAGCTTCATACCTCAGGATTTTAGGACGTGAGAGAGCCACTCAAATTTTATCATGACTTTGTGTTGATGTATGAATACATTTATTCCCAGTAAAATGCATCGAGAGAGATGGCCTCCTAGTGGAAGTGGTTTTATGAAATATTTTATTTTTATGGTTCTGTTTGCTAAACTGAAATAAAATTCATCACTCAATCTTTCTTTGTTTGGAATGCTTTAAAGAATTAAAACTATGAAAAACAAATCCATCACTCCTTGAAAAAAATTGAAATTTCATAGAAAATTGACCAGTAATTTTCACAAAAATGATATCTAATTTCGATTTAGGGAAAAAAGAATAATAAAATTTCTAGTTTCATTGGAAATTCAATGAAATTGCGAATTTTTGAGCAGCAGCAAGACAAGAGACTTCAAACTTACTTGAATTTTCGATTAATTCACAGTTCAAGAATTTAATTAACTGAATTGTCCTGATTTCCATTCATTCTCATGAAATAATTGAACTCTAATATCCAGAAATGAAAATAATAATGAAGAAAAAAAATGGTAAAAAAATAGAAAGTGAATAAAAAAAAATATAAAATGGATAAAGCACTGCAAAACTGGCGAAAATCAAACTAAATACGAGCTTTAAAAGAATAATTCTAATTCTAATAATAATAATAATAATAATAATAATAATAATAATAATAATAGGTGCTGTAATAACCTGTAGAAAATATTCAATATAATGAATATTTTCGGCCAAGAGTATTTTTTAAATTTAAGATATTGTTGATTTTATTGTTAAATTTTATGTATGTATCTGGAATAAAAATTGAAAAATGGACGTGGAATTCCAGTTTCCACTCATTTTTTCATCAAATCTTGAATTTTCCATGACGAAATTTCTTGAAATTTCAGCCAAAAATTTAAAACACTGATGTTATCCTCACCCAGAAGACGTTAATAATCCGAAATAAATTCCCAAGATAACGATAAAACCCAAGTATGTGGCAAAATGAGAATTTTCATGGCCACAAACAGCAGTAAGTAGTTTCCTCACGTATCTAATTTCCCCAAACTCTAAAAAATATCGAATTATCCCCCGAGCGTGCCCCTCCCCGCAGCCCCAAAAGATTAAACAACTCCAATAGTTTGTCTTTTAAAAAGCTATTCGCAAGGCATTCAATCGGTTAACCAAAACTTTACGATGCCCCCTAAATGTTGAGATACATTTTCGAGCCACTTTAGTTCCTCGTTAAACCATCCAAGACGTGGACTTTAACATCCCCATCAATCAAGCCTAATTGTTACTGTCCAGTGCGCGAAGAGAGGTGTAAAGAAACAGTTGTAGTTCGAATTCATGGGGTTGAAGTATTACTCTAATATTTATGCCACATTGGAAAATTTCCTCGGGCATTCCAGAGGCACTCACGTGTCATATCGATCTTACTTGGGTACCTGGGTTAATGCTAGGGCTGAGGTATGATTCGCATTCCTTTCTGTGACTCACGGGAAGTAACCCGACGTCTAGGGGGTGGGGGGCAAGGGATGACAGATAAAACCGATAACGTGGCGTGACTGCGAATCGCTCGACTATTTTGTAGGAAACTTGACGGCAATTATGCGAATTGTGTTGTAGGAAATTCCGGGATACGATCTTTGCAGGGTAGACGGCGAAAATAAATATAAAAGTGTTGGGCATGTTTAGTTTTCTTCTTAGAGGGGTTGGGGGATCTAGGGTGCGGAATAGGACATTTGAACGCGGAGAAAAAATTTGAGAAAAATTACCAAATGAGTTAAGTAGTCGTGGAGGAATCGCCATATTCGTAAATCATAATTACCCTTAAATTTTTAAACCGTCAATTAGTCAACATCACTTAAACTTTTGATTATTCAAGTAATCATCCATTTGAATATTCAAATTTTAACTATTTTATCAATCAATAATCCTTTTTAAGATATTAGAAATATTCACTTAATGACAAATTTACAGTTCTATATTATCAGATATTTAATTCATCATCAATCGGAAATTTAAACTATTAATATTATATTATTTTTTAATTTTGATGGGTTCGCTTAAACATTTATCAATGTAAGTCGCAAATCTTTTTAATATTGAAGAAATATAATAGTGATGGCCATTCCTGTCGTGGAAGGAGCTCCATTTTCAGTACTTTTTCATCCTATAGCGGGGAAGAAGGGCGGAATGAATAGTGAATTTTTCTCCGGTGGCCCGGGAAAATTTACTTAACATAAATCCTGCCGAAACTGTAAAATTTTCCCTGCATTCCATCAAAAATTATTTTTTGAGTATTTTTCTTGCAATAAATTTCGTAAAAAATTGAAAAATTATCATAGTAATTCTCATGAGAGACATCGCATCGGATTTAGGGGAAAAATGTTTATAAAATTTAAAGTTTTAGGTAGAATTCAAAGAAATTCATGAATTTTCTGTGGAAGTAAGATGGAAATTTCACAACTTCATTGAATTTTCAATAGAACGTGAATGTTCAGAAACAAAATGACGTGAATTGTCGATTTTTCCCTGAAATTTCTTCAATTTTCTTCAAGAAATTTCAGCCTAATGCTGGGTCGTAAGTAAATTAGCAGGTGGTAAGCAAATTGGCACAAAACTAAGCTGTTTCTGTGGAAATAAAAAAAATATTCACGCAAATGTGAAAGAAAGCTTTTTTACTCGTTTTTTTTTGTATAAAATTCAGTTTTTCTATCAAACAAGCGTTAGTTCACCACCTATTGGCTCCCTCAGATAATTATGAAAAAGTTGGAGGTAACAAAAATTTCAGAATTAAGAAATTTAACGAAATTTCAATTTTTCGCTGAAAATTTGAGTTTTTTTTATCAAACACCCATTAATTTCTCACCCAACAAGAAAGGATTCAGCTCGGGAAGAATAAAAGAACACTGATTTTTCAAAATCTCAGGAATAAATGAACGAAAAATGTACTGTATTGAAAGTGAAAAATATATTTGAACATCGAAATGAATGTTTTTAAACGATAATGTTGTCAGGAAGTTCAGATGCCGTTGGTGTGGGTTTAGTGACCCAGACGAATGGCCTTTCCACACATGGTTGCAGGATCGAAAAGGAAGAGGTTGTGGAGCGGTGGCTCTTTCTGAGACACTGCCTTTATTATCTCCTGGCCCATCACACCGCCCAGTATTGCGCAGACTGGACTCACTTGGGCGTACAGATCTCCCCTAGAATCCAAAATTAATCGTCATTAATCTAATAATTTCTCGATGACTAAAAAAAAGTTATGACTTTGGAAAATCCACTCAATTAGCCTTGCAATTACCACATAGAATTAAATAACTGACGACTGAATTGTGTTTTTACTCACTCGATTAAATCGTTTATTTTATCCCCCAAATCGTACTCTTTTATTATGGCTTCTGCCTCTTGAGAAAACTCTGGAAGCTTGGATTCACGTTCATTCGGATGGGGATCTTTCCCATGCTTCTCTCGATAGTTCATCATTACTTTAAATAATCAAACAAAATAATTAAATAACCGCTAAACACATTGTTCAAAAATTCAGCAAGCATACAACGAAATCAACACTGAACTTTTTTTAATCGTCAATAACTCATCAAATCGTTGGTTGAATGGAATTTTTTCCACTCTGCAAATTATAATATTCTTATTAATTTCAGAATATGTTTAGACTAAACTCAATTTATGAATTTGTTGACGAGCTATTAACATTTAAAAAGTCGACAGTGTCCATTGTCCCAAGCCCTCCTCTATTTTTAATTTATGCTTACTCTGGAACAAATGATAAACTTCTGAATTTTTTGGCAATGTCTTGGCATTAAGAATTTTCTCGAATGGAACGAAAGTCTCTGTTCTCTTGACAGTGTTGACAATTCCATCGACACTTCCATTGTCCTTAGAGTCACCACCGGGTCCTGGTTTCTTCTTACTCTGAACTACATCCCTGAGATAATTAATTCAGTTAATTAATCTGATTCCACAAGATTTTTTAGAAAAAAAGATAAATCACTCACATGGCGTATTCATGCGTCAACAGATCCTCAAACGTGTATCCGAACATTCCCCAGACGTCACCAGCAAAGAACTTGACATTGTACTTCCTGCATGCTGCATTGATTCTCTTCAACTGGGTGATGGTGCACTCTGAGGCACAGACGACATCAAAGTCCCTGAAGAATGTGTCTGGCTTGGTGTCAATGTTCGAATCATCAGCTGTCACTTCAACCATTGAGTTGAGGTTCTGGGCTCGATCCACTGATGCTTGTGCTCTCTAGAGAAAATTGAATTAAAAAAATCATTTTATTCAATTTTCAAAGTTTTGTGAAGATAATAAGAGAAAAAATGATGATAAAAATAATTTAACAATGGATTTGAGTCGAGAATAAGACAAAGAAATTTTATTGCCATCATCCCCAGCCATAAAAATAATAAAAAGAATGAATTAATGAATATTTTCGAGTTGTGATTACGTTTATGACAAGATGAATGAGGCAAATAATAATATAGCAAAACTGAAAATAATTTAATAACAGTGAAAAAAATAAGAACTCAACAATAATTTTTTGTTAAGATGTATAAAAAATAAAATATAGCAATCATCTTGAATCATCAATATCCCTGACTCGATGGTCTCATTTAGATGAATTAAATCACATTTGAAAGGGAGGAAACATGTTTGGAATGAAAAAATCTCGTTTTATTTCGCTCTATCAATATGAGTAAGAAAAATAATGATATAATAAAATTGAAAATAATTCAACAACAATGAAAAAAATCAGAACTCAATAAAAAATAAAGTGTGATAAAATCATCTTGAATTTATAAACACATTTGAAAGCTTGGAAAAATATCTTCGCAATGCAAAAAAAAGACCACAAATTTTCAATTAACCCCTTTCATCCCCAGCAATGAAAATAATGAAAAGAATGGATGAAAATTGTTGAAGTGTACTTACATTCTTTCCAACATCTTTCCTATCAGCAAAGAACTGTGAGGATGAATCCTCAACCGTCAGTTCCCTGTGATCCAAAAATTTAATAGATTTGATCCCAGCAAGAATAATATTCTTGGCAACCTCAGCACCAAATCCATTGAGTCCAATGAGAAGAACCTTGGCCAGACGTAGTCTAAAACCCCAAAATTGAAGTAAAAACGCCTATTTATTGTACTCTTCAACCAGAGCCGGTGAAATTCGAGGTTAGAGTCAAAATAACTCACCTTTTCTGTGACTCCAGCCCCCAAAGACGAATCTGTCTGTCGTACAACTCAGCCTCTGCATCAGTGAGCATCTCCGAGCCGTTTTTCTCCTCCACCATTGTTAATAAATATCAGGATATTCGTGGGAAACGTACGATGACTGATTGTTGGAGACTACAAACTCCAAAGTGCCGCTCACGCTTTGTACAGTCGATAAAACACGAATCCGTCACACCAATTGAGCGAAAGAACACGAATGCATCGCCATCTGGCGTGAGTAGAGACAATTCTCTCAACTCATTGAAAAGTGAATTGAACTGTCAAAATTGACAATCATGACCGAAAATAAATCATAAATAATGTGATTCGAATCCAGTGATCTTTGATCTCAGTACGTAAATATGTCGATTAGTTATCATTGATATTTTCCTCCCATTTGGGTGAATATTTAATTAATTTCGTTGGATATTTTGCTGGGAACAGGTTATGTAGAGTTGATAAATTGTTAATTATTAAATTAAGTTTATGGGAATTATCCGTAATAAGTGCGGAGATAATTCTAAGAACATTATCTGTCCCCAGTAATAAAAATAATGAAGAGAATGAATGAATGACAGAAATAATGAAATAACAACAGTGAAAATGATGCAGCAACAATAAACAAAATAAGAATTCAACAATCACTTTTGTTAAAATGTGTAAAAAATTAAGCGAAAAAAAGAAAAAATCTCTTTGAAATTGAAAAAAAACGTCCCCTTTCACATCCCGAGTAATGAAAATNAGAGTCAAAATAACTCACCTTTTCTGTGACTCCAGCCCCCAAAGACGAATCTGTCTGTCGTACAACTCAGCCTCTGCATCAGTGAGCATCTCCGAGCCGTTTTTCTCCTCCACCATTGTTAATAAATATCAGGATATTCGTGGGAAACGTACGATGACTGATTGTTGGAGACTACAAACTCCAAAGTGCCGCTCACGCTTTGTACAGTCGATAAAACACGAATCCGTCACACCAATTGAGCGAAAGAACACGAATGCATCGCCATCTGGCGTGAGTAGAGACAATTCTCTCAACTCATTGAAAAGTGAATTGAACTGTCAAAATTGACAATCATGACCGAAAATAAATCATAAATAATGTGATTCGAATCCAGTGATCTTTGATCTCAGTACGTAAATATGTCGATTAGTTATCATTGATATTTTCCTCCCATTTGGGTGAATATTTAATTAATTTCGTTGGATATTTTGCTGGGAACAGGTTATGTAGAGTTGATAAATTGTTAATTATTAAATTAAGTTTATGGGAATTATCCGTAATAAGTGCGGAGATAATTCTAAGAACATTATCTGTCCCCAGTAATAAAAATAATGAAGAGAATGAATGAATGACAGAAATAATGAAATAACAACAGTGAAAATGATGCAGCAACAATAAACAAAATAAGAATTCAACAATCACTTTTGTTAAAATGTGTAAAAAATTAAGCGAAAAAAAGAAAAAATCTCTTTGAAATTGAAAAAAAACGTCCCCTTTCACATCCCGAGTAATGAAAATAATTAAGGATGTTCTACACCCTTTCTGCCAAAATTCACGTTTTTTTAATTTTTCTGGCAAACTTATGATGGAATTGACGTGAAAAAATATAACGTTTTTGCGTTTTGTCATTATTTAATGACTGACGAAATTTTAAGGTGGTGCGAACATTTTCCTGCGTTTTCTCTAAACTTTTAAAAAGAATCACGAAACTGTAGAAAAAACGCATGAAAATTATCGCACCACTACGCAACTTCGTGAGCCATTAAAGAATGATAAACCACAAAATCGTTATATTTTTTTTCACGTCACTCCCATCGATAATTTGCCAGAAAAATGAAAACAACGTCAATTTTGGCTAAAAGGGTGTCAAACATCCTTAAGAGAATGGATGGATAAATATTATTAGTGTAACTAGAGACAATTCTCTCCTCAACTCATCGAAGAGCGAATTGAGCTGTCAAAATTGATAATCATAACCGAAAATAAATCATAAATAATGTGATTCGAATCCAGTGATCTTTGATCTTAGTACGTAAATATGTCGATTAGTTATCATTGATATTTTCCTCCCACTTAGGTGAATATTTAATGGATTTCGTTGAATATTTTCTGGGAATAGGCTAAGTGGAGTTGATAAATTATTAATTATTGAATTAAGTTTATGAGAATTATCAATAATAAGCGCGGAGATAATTCTAAGAACGTTATCTGTCCCCAGTAATAAAAATAATGAAGAAAATGCATGAATGGGAGAAATGATAAAATAACAAAAGTTGAAGTGATTCAATAACAAAAAAAAATAAAACTTCAACAATCATTTTTGTTAAGATGTGTAAAAAGTGAAGCGTGGCAAAATTGTCTTGAACCTTCAACATATTCTGACTCAATGGTCAAATGTAGATAAATTGAAACACATTTAAAAGTTTGAAAACAGCTCTTTAAAATACTTTTGTTGCTAAATTATTAATTGTTGAATTCAGTTCATGAGAATTATCAATAATAAGTGCGGAGATAATTTTAAGAACATTATCTGTCCCCAGTAATAAAAATAATGAAGAAAATGCATGAATGAGAAAAATGATGAAATAACAAAAGTTGATGTGATTAAATAACAAAAAAAATAAAACTTCAACAATCATTTTTGTTGAGATGTGTAAAAAATAAAGCGTGGCAAAATTGTCTTGAACCTTCAACATTTTCTGACTCAGTGGTCCAATGTAGATAAATTGAAACACATTTGAAAGCTTGGAAAAATCTCTTTAAAATACTGTGGAGTTGATAAATTGTTAATTGTTGAATTAAGTTTATGGGAATTATCATCATTGTTGGTAATAATCGAGTGAAAGCTGTCAATAAATGCAGAGATAATTCGAGGAACATTATCTGTGGCCTCTTAACCCTGTCCTATTGAGAAATCTGACCTTGCAGGAGTTTATAAACTGCAGTGAATTTTTTACACTCTGGAATTATTTCGCACATTCTTATTTTTCTTCGATTAGCCACGTGTTATCTCGTAGACACAACGCCTCTCGGTGGCGCTAAAATTAATCCACTGAGCGTTAATCAATTTAATGAAGCTTTTGATTATATTTATGTTCGGTAAATGATAGCGTAAAAATTAATTTGTGGAATTTTTATTCTGAAGTTCAAATCGATGCTCATGTGGGGTGGACAGCGCACCCCAGGGCCTTTTCTATGATTTTTGTTGTCACTGTCTCGTTAAGTAAAATAAAAAAATTTAGATAAAAATTGCTAGCGAATTTTTAACCATTTGATTACATTTTTTTCTTTGAGTTTTGGTTCCTCTGGGAGACATAGAAAATAGTTAAAACGTCGTGGGAGTAACGAAGGATAATTAATATTTTCTTGGTATTGTTGAGGATTTTTAATTAGAGTTAAGCAATGATTTTATATATTTTGTTGTCGAATGGACGGATTTATTTTGACATTTAATTCTGACATTTAATTTGACGTTTGTCAATTTTTGGTCGACTTTGGAGTTGATGCAAGATTAAATTATTGATGAATTTCTGGATTATAAATAGATAGATAAAAATGCGGATTTCTATGCTTTTTATTTAGATATGGAATAAAATGATCCCCCAAAGACAAATTAATCAAGTACATTGTTTGCAACGTTCATATAAAATTAGACGCGACTGACTAGCAATTATTAAATTTCCAATTTTCAACTTTCATCTAATTCAATTTAAATTATTCATTAAATTGTTCATTTTTTATTCATTTATTATGTATTTATTTATTCTGTTTGTTTAATCGATAGCATTTATTACTGTTATCATTAATATAACTGTATTTTCAGCGCATTTTGGTTGTAAGAATGAATTCATTAAAAACCCATTCTGAAAAACACAAAAATCTATTCAAAAAAAAGTTGATTCAAAATTCTTACAAATCGGGCTGTATGAAAAATTAATTACGAGAGAAAAGCAGAATTTTCATTCATTCAAGTCAGCATGAATTTTATTAATTGTTTTATTAATTATTGTATTAATTATTTTATTAATAATTCTTGTAACTCAGCCCTTGCCCCCATTTCAAGAATTCTTACTCGTAATTTCAGTTGAAATTTTCCACCAGTACAACTGATAAATAAAAAATGGCAGAGGATCCATTCGTCGAAAAGCTCTTCGTCTTCAAATTTCCCACGTGCACAACGAACGAAGACTACACCCTGGAAATTCCGATAAAAATACCCTATCGTGGCAATGTCACAGAGTTCGCCTATCGAATAATGTCGTCATTCAAGCTGCCCCCGTACGTAGAAACAGACCTGATGAATTCACTCGATGAAACCGTGGACAAATGGACTCAGGAGTATTACGACGAGCGAGACGACAAACTGATTGATGCTGCGATCAATGGGGAACTCGATGTTGAGAGGATAGTGAAGGATTGGGAGAAGGCGTACAAGACGAAGACGGTCGAGTACGCCGAGCCCATTGGGACCACTGACGAGGAGCTTTTCGCTGCTGCCTATCACAGGCTCGTACACTCGCCTTCCTTGGAGCCTATTCTCCAGGCTGAGCATAAATATGGGAAGGACGTCACCGAAGTTATTCAGATAAGGGATGGGGAATACGAACAGCTGACGCAAAAGTTAGAGTTTTTCAGTTTTATGGTGAAAGAAAAAAGATACATTTCATTTCAAAAAATTCAATTTCATGAAATTGGTAAATCGTTAAATTGATTCAAATGAATTATGTTCCTGAGGGGAGTAATAAGTATTAGCACACTATTGAGTATAGTACTATCTTTCTTAAATAGAACTAAATTTTCGGGAGAAGAACAGAAATTTTTCCACAGTTTCATGATTCTGCTATCAAGTTATGTAAATTAATTTTTTTTAAATTAAAAGTGACTGAATATTTTAGGAGAATCTACAATTTTATTCATCAAAACTATTAATATTCAATTCAGCTCTTGGAATCACAGAAAATCAGAAATATTACTAGAGAAAATTAAAGTCAAATTGAGCGAAATTTGTCTTTAGTTTAATGATTTTGTTATGAAAATGCGTGAATTAACAAGAAAAAGCCACTTTAAATATTCTAGGAAACTTCAAAATTTTATCCATCAAGACTATTAATAATCAATTATCCTCTTGGAGTTACAAAAAACCATGAATATTCAGTTGAACCTTGAAAATTCGGAGACTTCTTGAATTCCAAGGATCGTCTAATAGAGAATTTCAAATAAAAATTCTGAACATTTGCATTTGTTGGTAGACAAACTGACGAGATGAAAGTGGCAGTCGAGGCCCTGGAGGCAGGATCCACTGAGAGATCAATAAACGAAATGGCAGCGAGACACTTTGAGGAACAAAGTTTATTGCAAGGTCACTGGGGTTCGAGAGTTGACGCGCTTAAATTGGAACAACGTCGTCAATATCGTAATTGGATCATGAGATTACTCGAGGAACAGCAGACTAATATGTTACCAACACCGGTGTAATTATTCATTTGCAATCCAGAGGACTGCAACAGGATGAGACAATTTGCATTATTTTTTCTCAATATTTATCTCTTTAGATTCAACAAGAGATATTCATGAAAAAAAAATAGTCTAAAGTTGACTCGTCTCGTTTAACAGTTTAATCACCAAATTATCGTCTAAATGAACCGATTTTTGAATTCACCCGATGATTTTTTTTATTTTAGCGAATCTCCAATGGTACCAATGCCTCTAGTACCCGAGCTCTTATCAAATAACGATAATAAGACAGTCAAAAACACCTCAGACCTCCCACAATTGGAAGAAAGCTTCACGATACATCTAGGCTCTCAAATGAAGCAGATGCATAACATCAGGATTTTGACAGGAGATGTTCTAGATTTTTGTAGAACGAAAAATAATGGGTAAACACGAATGGAGTTTTGAATAAGCTTCACGAAGGCAGATTCTCCCAATAAATTGACTGAAGAATGAATTTTTCTTTTAGAAACATGGAGCCAACTCCACAAAGATTACAGACAGCTCTCGGATTATACTCCAACGACCTTTGTGGCCTAGTTCTTCTGAGTGACAATCATTTGGGAAGCTACTCTGGCATCACCAAAGGTTCGCATGATAACTCTCATATAAAGAAAATTAACTTGTCAGCCATTAACGGTCGTTGCAAATTTAATTGATTATTATTGTGGAAAATAAAAAGAGGAATTGGCTGGAAAAAATGAAATTTCGTAAACAATTTCTAATGAGGCGATATTCAATTCCATTTAGAAGGAGAAAATGGTGAAATTTGAGATTTTGTTGAAAATTCAGTGCAATTCCAAATTTTTGAGCGACAGAAAGATGAGAATTCGTCAACTTACTTGAATTTTCAATCAAAGAATGAATATTGATCCGACTTTTTCGGATTTCTATAGATTTTCATGGAATAATTCAATTGAAGTTAACAGTTTCTATTGATTTTTCAATAAAATTTTGAATTTTCAGTAACAAAATTCCTTGAAATTTCAGTTAAAAGTGTTTAATAAAAAAATGTTGACTTCAAAAATGTTGAAATTTCCGATTTCATTGAAATTCCTTTAATTTCTATTAATTTTTGTGGAATAATTGAACTGAAATTTACAATCTCCATTGATTTTTCAATAAAATATTAAATTTGCAATTAATAAATTCTCAAAAATTAATAAATTAATAAATTCCAAAAATTAATAAATTCTAAATTAATAAATTCAGTCAACAATTTTTAACAGTGCAGGGCATTCGTTCATTCTGCAAAGCAGTTTCACAATTTTTGTGAAACTCTTATATCTAAAACTTTGTTTTTCAAATGACGCGAACCTCTCATTCCTAGAGCTGAGTTCTATCTGTCAACTGACTACTGAATTTCATTTCCCTCCGATCGACGAGCAACTGGAAAAAATCAAGGAGGATGTCAAAGAGGCTGTTGCGTGGAGGCAGACGCACCATCGAGAGGGGAGTGATAATCAGGTCAAAAAATCAACGTCTAGTAGATCGCTGCAGACTGGCGATGTTTTTATCACGAGGCATTCTAATTTGGCGCAAGTTCATGTCGTCTTTCATATGGTTGTCAACGATTCATTACGTTCAGGTAGAAGACTTAATAAGTTATGTAGTGGAATCAATTAATTGGGAATTAATGACTTAATTGACTTGTTGGTTAATTAATTTTCGATCTTTCTTGCAGGAGATATCAACTCAAGACATCCGGCCATTTTGGGGCTGAGGAATATTCTGAAAACAGCTTGTGTTAATGACGTTACAACGATCACGATTCCAGTATTACTTGTCCATGAAATGACAGAAGTAAAGTTCTTTCTTTCGTTCAAGAGAATTATTGTTTTCCTGATAACTATTGCATTAAAAGATAATTGCAAAATTAAGAACAATTTTAATTTCTCGTTGCGATCTCTTCGATTGTTCTACAGGATATGACTGTCGCCTGGTGTACAAAACGTGCAGAGCTTGTATTCAAATGTGTGAAAGGATTTATGATAGAAATGGCCTCTTGGGGAGGGGCTGAACTAAAAAATCTACAGTTTCTAGTTCCAAAGGTGAAGACACTTCTCACTTTTTAAAAAATGTTGATGACTTGTTGATAAAATGAGATAATTTTATGTCACATGAGTATTTTCTTCGTCTAAAAAATATTCAATAGGATATTTGTCTCCTTTGTAAATCCAATCAATCAAATTGATGAAAATTTATTCACATTTTTGAAAAATCACAAATAGCAGTTCTCACTCGCTCGATTTTCAATGATGATTTTTATTCCAGGGAATGTCTGAAGAAGTTTTTGGTACACTAGCTACAATGCTCCCAAGTATATTCCGAGTATCAAATCCACTGGTTTTCAAGGCGAATGGTGCTCCAAACACACCGAAGAAATGAATTCTCAAATTAATTAATTCCAATTATCAGAAATGTTTTTTCTTCTCGAATTGATATATGCATTTATTTTGCTATAAGGTATCGCCTCGTTTGCTCAAAATTGAACAATTTCTTGCGATGAATGTGATAAGATGCCTGTTTAATAAATAAATATATAATTAAAAAACAATCCATCATTTTTGTTTAGTTATTCTCGAATCGTGAATGATTCAACAATTTTCTCCTAAATTATCTTATTGTTTTTTCATTGATTAATGCTTAACTGTTGATGAAATAAGATAATTTTCTGTCATATGCAGTATTGTCTTCGTCTAAAAAATCTTAAATTGCAGTCTTCACTACATCAGTTTTCACTGATGCTTTTTATTCCAGGGAATGTCTGAATAAATTTTTGGACCATTAGCTACAATGCTCTCAAGTATATTCCCAGTTTCACGGCGACTGGCGCACCAAACACACCGAAGAAATGAATTCTCAAATAAATTAATTCCAATTATCAGAAATGTTTTTTTCTTCTCGAATTGATATACGAATTTATTTTGCCAAAAGGTATCGCCTCGTTCACTGAAAATTGAAAAATTTCTGGCGATAATTGTGATAAGAAGCCCGTTTAATAAATAAATACATAATTAAAAAACAATCCATTACTTTTGTGAATGTCTTCTTGACTGAAATAATCTCATTGTTTATTCATTCACCAATTCTCAACGATTGAAATTGAATCCACATACGCTGAGTCAACGACAAAAGTGAGAAATCCACAGCTTCTAATAATAGCCCAAGCGATGAAAACCCTCCTATCAAAATTTCCCCAATTAATTGAAACCGAAATTATCATCGACTTGCTGAATTTGAGGAAAACAATGAATTTATCGAGATGCAACCCGAGGGCAGCTGAAGTATTTTAAATACACTGTAGTGGGAATTATCAGATAAATTTATCACATGCAGTAAAAAGTGGTACATTAGCTTCCACAATTCTGAACTCAATGACCCGGTTGTTACAGACTGAATTCTCCCGTTCAACAAATCAAAATCGCTCTTTGTATTCTGATGGCTCGTCACGCGTAGACGGCCTCCGGAAAATCCCAATACAGAACGGTTAATTTTTATTTTTAACTGTTGTGGAAAACTGAAAATGTGGTCAGGTGTGTTGATGGTTTTGGTAGGGGCGGTTATCGCAGTGGATGGTAAAGCATCCGAGGTGAGTGATTAGAAAAGTGTTTCATCAATTCGACGATAGCAAATCCTAGATCAAATTTCAAGTTTTGAATTAATTGGAATAATAATTTATAATCTTTTGCGAATTATCAGTCATTTTGATTAGAAACCTATCATGATTTTAGTAATGCTCATTTACAAAATTAATTAAGTCCATATGGAACGGCAGTAATTAATTGAGATAACTTCATTATTTCAAGTAAACTATAAATTACTTTGACTATGAACTGAATATTTTCTGGGATTTTGATCTGTTGAATTCCATAACACACGGAACATTACGAATTTTCCAGATAGACTTGTCCCATCGGCACATGAAGAAAGAAGAGTTCTTCGTGAGAATTCAACACACCCTGAACATCCAGGAAGTAACGGAATTGAATCTGAAAGGAAATGAATTCGACAGTTTTCTGGACTGTTCAGCAAAACTGGACCACTTGAAGAGTCTGGACCTGGCCGAGAACCAGCTCCAGCGGTTCTTCTTTCTCTGCAACGGGGAGTATGCTCTCGAATACTTGAACATCAGTCACAATCATTTAGAGTATATCGACGATCAAGCCCTGAATGAGAGAATCCCTAAGTTAAAGGTGTTGGACATCTCCCACAATAGAATTTCCGTTATCAACGAAACTATGATCGAACATATGAAGGTACGTTCTTGACACAAAGTTACGCATCTTAGGAATCACACGAAAAGATTTTATAGAAAAACGTAGCGAATTCGCTAGAGATTTTATAAGAAGAACAAATAATTTCAAAAAATGTTTAAAATACGATGTGGGGGCGCCGCCGTCTTGCCTGGATTTAAAGATGGCGGCGCCCATACCTGTCACCCACCTCACTTTTTTGAACATGTCTTAGAATTATTTACCCTCTTCAGATTCCCTTCAACTTATTTCATCCAATTTCTAGAAAATGAATAAATTTTTGCAGCTATCCTTCTGGTTATTCGATCTCCCTCTGACTGAGAATTCATGGCGCATAGTTTGCTCTACTCCACTAGTTTGCTCCTATTTTTTTACTCCCGAGGCCTCTTAAGTCACTAGTCGTAAAAGCAATCTTGAGAAAAGTATAAGAAAACGGCGATAACGCAGGAACAAAGCCCAATATCTTAGGAGAAAATCATCCAATAACTTTCAACTAAAAGACGAATCTTTAACGTCATGAGAGCCAGAACCCCACAAAATTACAACTTCCTATCTCAATTACTGCGCGAATTATCATGCCTTAAAGTAATGTCAGCAAACTCATGAAAAACCAGCGATAGCAACGGCATGAACATTTGCTAGAAAATGAATAAATTTTTCTATTTACTCTTCAGATTTCTCCATCCCCTTTTGACTAAGAATTCATGCCCCAAAGTTTTCTCCACATTTCAGCATTTTTTTACTCCCGAGGCCTCTTAAGTCACTAGCTTTTTACAAGTCGTAAAAGCGATCTGGAGAAAAGTGTAAGAAGACGGCGATAACGCAGGAACAAAGCCCAAACTCTTAGGAGAAAATCATCCAATAACTTTCAGCCAAAAGACGAACCTTTAACATCATAAGAGCCAGAACCCCAGAAAATTGCAACTTCCTATCTCAATTACTCCGCGAATTATCATGCCTTAAAGCAATGTCAGCAAAACCAGCGATAACACCAGTCCCCGATAACCAAAGAGATGTGCTTTTTCTCATTCACAATATCTAATCACATCCGCTTTCAGGTCCTGGAGTTTCTCTCAATGGCGCATAACCCAGTCATTGACATCCACGAGAAGGCCTTCGTAACTCAGAAGAACCTGAAGCACTTGGACCTGGCCAACATCAGCGCAGAGCTAATCCCCAGCTCTCTCTTCCGTCCCTTGACGAACCTAACATTCCTGAACATCTCCTTCAACCCCATCACCTCCATCCCCTTCCTCCCCTCGTCCCTCCTGGAGCTCGACCTCTCCGGGACCTTCATCCTCTACCCCGACAATATCATCCTCCCCCAGCTCGCCAGGTTTCACTTGAACTCCATGCCGAATATCACAGGAATAGTCCTCAATGATTTCGAGAACTTAACAATGCTGGAGGTCCTCTCAATGGAGAGGTGTCCCATCCTCTCGGAGTTCAGGGTCTGGCCTCCGAATAATAGGATTCTCCCGCGTCTGCATCACCTCTCCGTCAAGGGATGCGATCTGGAGACCCTGAATGATGACCTTCGGCCAATAATGCAGAGGATCGCTATGGTGGACCTGCAGAACAACCCCTGGCACTGCGACTGCAGGATGCAGTGGGTCAATCGATTGAATTTATCTAGTGAACTCAGTCGAGAGATTAAGTAAGTGCTTCATCAAAGCATCGATCTTCCTGGTCTTCTCAATTGCTATCAATATTTCGTTTTTCGAAATAAGAGAATTAGTTAATTCAAACTTGAGATTTATCCCCGTTGATAAAACAGGATTGGAATGTGCAGAATGATTTGTAGATGTCACTGTTAATCACAAAATAGTAGCTTCATAGATGAATAGAATTCGTTTTAGCCTGAGATGCAGATATTCTCTAAAGGCAAAACATGCGTAATTGATTGTCTTTATTAATTACTATAGTGCAAAATTGTACTAGAAAAATAGTCATATTATGTAAAGTTATTCCACGATTTTGTCTGCAACACTCAATTGATTATTAATTAATTTTTGTTCGTTAAGTTTAGTTATTTCTATCAGTATGTCCAACCAATTCACTTAGTTTAATTCAATTTTATAGCATCTTTCATTTGGCGGTTGTTGATATTAATCAATGAAACTAATCTAGAAATCGTGATCACATCCTTCACTAGATTCACTGAAACCGTTTAAATATTCGAACTATTACGTAACAATTTATCTATTTATCAATTAAGAATCCCATTAAATTTCTTCTTAATGAAAAGAAAAGAAAAAGAGTAAAAAAAACTTGAAAAATTCATTCCGAGAAATTCTTATAATTCCGTCTCAATAGAAAAAGTTACATAGAAAGATGAAATCCTACAGAAACTTCTCATTAAATAGTTTCTATTATATATATATATTTTTTTTATTTCCTTGATGCTACTGTTACAGTTTTACATCTACACAAGCCAGTCAACAAATATCTCCAGAACACTCCAATAAATTGTTTTTGTCAATAATGTCTTTAGAGTGTAACAAATGATTGTAATATCACAGTATCACAATTTGAGCACTTTCGCAATTTCTACTTTCTTAAAATTTCTTTTCGCTGTAATCTCTCAGCACTCTTTCTATCTTAGCTAGTCCTACACACAACGGTACATTTACTTCTCCCGCTGGGGCATTTATTAACTTCTTCCTCCAGCTTCTTTGATTTGTCTTTCCTCTCCAGCCTGTAGTTTCTATTATTATGTACAATTTATTAAACACTGTGAGTTACTATCCTTACAGAGAGTAGAAAGCGTCAATATAAAAATAAAACAAAATAATAGTAATAGAAGCGCAACAGTCTATCTAATAGTAAGCTGCATCGAATATGGGCATACGAATACCATTGCTTTATTTTACATAATCTAAAATACGAGGACGACTTCTATTTATTTTTTTTATTTATTTCTCATCAATTTCCAAGCTAAAAAATGTATTCCTGGCTAACAACACGCATCTTCGTAGAATTAGGAAGCTAAGAATTTTACGACCACATTCAGGTGGAGTGATGAAGTTAAACGAAAAAGTTTCTATTGACCATTTTCTACAAAAAAAAACACCCAAAAAAAATCGACTTTTCAAACGAAGTTCAGCAGAAGTCCAATAGAATTCTCACATAATCAGTTATATTAAAAACTTTTCTGCCTAGCTAAAATCAATCAACTTCTTCATCTCCCTATAATTGATTTGCAGATGTAACACACCTGAACAACATCAAGGCAAGCTTCTGTCCCAAATTCCCAACCACGACTTGGTCTGTCTGGAAATCTCAACAACCACCTACACAGCGATCTGGGCGTCAATGTCAATAATCCTGATTCTTTTGATACTAACGGCAGTCTGGTTATTCTGGCGAGGTCCCCTGAGACACTGGACACTACCAAAACGCAACGGTGACACAGTTAGCTACAAGAACGTCGTAGAATCCTCCAACGACTTAATTAGAATATTAGTAACGGACGACAGGGCTGAGGAGTAGCAAGTCATTAAATTCGGTCGAATGAAGGAGAAAATAATGGAATATCAATCGTTATTGTTGCTGGCTCTTAAAGAACCTCAAATTACTTATTTATAAGAAGCACTAGTCAACTGTGGTAATTTTGAATCAATGTATGGCCCATTTGATGGTGAAACCCCATTGTCCCCCCATTATTGAAGCATCTTACAGTTACAATGGACCAGCATTATCCAATGGGAAAACTTGCAGTCCCAGAATACATTTGACATGTTCTCTCAGCTCATTTCAACCCCTTCGTCCTTAATAAAGGAGATACAGTCTAGATACTAAAGAAAACAGTCTACCTGGGCACAATGGCCCGCAGTGGCTTGACTGCCTTCGAATGAGACCACGAGTGTATCCATCCTTCGTTTCGCTCCACAACTCTGTACCATTTCCTTTATGTTTTTTTCATCTCTCCTCTCGCTTTATTTCAACGTAACGAAGAGGCGGTGCGTAAATACACACGTGGTGGGCCGATTGTTAACATTGGGGCGGAGGGCGACGACCAGTCGGGCAAGTTAATGGCGCGGTTTATGCTCAACTTCAACAGATACTTAAGTTCATTTATATTCACATTTACTGGAACATTTATTGAGAGAATAAATGACGGAGTAAAGAAAATTCTGGGTATGGATGTGGTTTTTTTGTCGCTGAAATCCTTCATTTATATTCTGTTTTTATTCGTTCATTTGTTTTCAGTATTTGATTTTGGCATTCAATGGACGGATGATTTATTTTGTGATTTAATTTATGTGATTTTTCATTGAATAAAATGCAGGAGTTTATCAATTTCTAACAAAAATATTGTTGAAATGAATGGAATGGGAGATAATGGGGTTAATTTGTTTCGAGTGACTGATATTTTGTGGAATATCTTCATTGAACATTCAATATTTTATGGAAAATCAATCGATACTGTGAATTTCAGTTCGGGTATTCCAGGGAAATTTATAGAAATTAGGAAAATTCAGGTGGAAATGTTCTTAAATTTTTTAATCATTGAAAATTTAGCGTAATTTGGTTGGAATTTCAAACAAGTTGGGGAATTCTCGACTGCCCGCTGCTAAAAAATCTGGAATTTTAGTATTTTTTTAATTTTCAATTCAAAATCGTAAAATTCAGGTGAATATATTCCTGAATTTTCAATTAATCACAGACTCGGTGTAATTTTGTACTGAATGTTAAGGTTTTTATTGTAAATTTAAGTAAGCTGGGAAATTCTCGACTTCCCGCTATTCAAAAATCCGGAATTTCAAGAATTTTTTGTGAAATCTGGAATTTTACCATTTTTTTCCTCTGCATTGAATTAAATATCATGAAAAATTAACATTCAACTTTCCATGAAATTTCACGTCTCTCTTAACAGTGTATTCTCGAATTTTCAATTCAAAGTCGTAAACTTCAAGTGAATATATTTCAGAATTATTTTTCAATTAATCGAAAACCCGGCGTAATTTTATACTGAATATTTACATTTTTTATGGAAATTCAAGTAAGTTGGTGAATTCTCGTCTCCCTTCTCTCCAAAAACCTGGAACTCCATTAAATTTTCGCTAAAATCTGATTTTTCCGACTTAAATTACAATTGAATGTCAATCTCCAGAAAAATAACTAGTCAACCCAAGAAATTTCAATTTCTTCACCAGTCTATATCATTTGTTATTCTGTTATTGTATTCATGTGCGTGTTTTTGCTAACCGCAAAACTAATCATCAATACAAAAACGATTAAAACTCCCAAAAGTCGCAGTAAATGTCCAAAAATATTCACATCCTCACTTTAACTGTGAAATTTTTGCCACAATCCAAACAGCCCTATATAAAGATCCATCCGGTGACGTTGACCATGATCGCAAGCGATGTAGCGATCAGTCTTTGTACCGAAAGTATGATCTTCCTACGGGAGAGGACTATCAAGTTACTCGTGACGGGGGCCCGTATACATCCCCCTCCCCCCTCGTCTTCCTCATTCTCCCGAGCATCTCATATTAAATCCAGTGCAGTTGGGATATAATATTCCATGCCCTGACGTTCCACCCGAACGCAACACTCAACCGATTATACCGATCTTGCTCACTGCAATATTATCCCCTTCCTCTCCCCCTCGCCATCACCGAATTTCATCCGGCAACCAATGAAATGCGGTTTACAGCATTATAATACTCGAATCATTCGGAAAAATACTGTGTACACTTCTCTCTCCCCCACTGCAGTGCTCAAAAAACCAACGCAGACTGGTGCGCACTGTTGTACATGTTTTTTTCGTTGATCACAGGGGGGGAATTTTATCTGATTAAACCGTCATGGAAACATGGGGTTACGCGTGTAAGCCTCGTATGGCTCGTCCATGGGGAACATCGGGGAAACAACTGAATAATGAAAATAAAACCCAACGATGGTATCACTAAGTACCGAGGGATTACGCACGCATCAACGCTTTCTCGATGAACTTGTACTAGTTACAACGGGGCTCTGTTGCTTCCATTATATTCTTATGTTAAAATGATTTTTTAATTTTTATGGTAACACTAGAAATTTTTTCGTTAGTGATATTTTGGGATTTAGGGGAGACGAACTGAAAACACAAGGGATTTAACAATTTTTTTTCAGGTAATTTTTGATTCATATGAGAAAAATTCGGAATATTTGGGCATTATTAGCATCATTTAAAGTACATTTTATGATGTGTGAGAGTTAGATGATTTCTAGAGTAGAAAATTTAAAACCGAATTCACAAATTAATTAAATTTATTTAATAAATAGAAATAAAAAATATTAATATAATATGAAAATAAAATATTTCATAATAATATTAATAAATATATATTTTATTATAATATTAATATTATTAATATTAGGGGAGACCGGTGAAAAATAAAATAGTTGTGAATTTTTCCATTCACGACCTCATCGAACCTGTCTACGTATTTTCTTATCGAAAAAGCAACTGATAACATTTTCAACTAATTTCGTTTATTGTTTATCAAACAAAAAATGTTATGAAGAAATTAATGTCTGAATCAATTAACAAATGTAAACTCTCTATGAGCTGTTTGTTATATTCTGGATACTAGTAGAACGCACTCATAGAATGATTCATTTATTTCAAACGAGATTCGTTAACTATTAACGAATGAAAATTTGAAACCAAATCAGTAGTGAAGCGGTAAATTGCGGGTTAAGTCGATTTTTACTATTGGCCAATTTTTGACGAATATCTCGGAATCTAAAAATGACAGTAAAATTTTTGTCATAACCTTTTTTGTAGAGCCAACTGAGGGTTATAAAAAAGGCCATGAGAAAAATTTCGAGATATTAATCAAAAACTGGCCAAACGTAAAAATCGACTTCACCCGGTGATTGGATTTGTTAACAATAACTAATCCTATCCATCAGTGAACATATTAGCGAGTCTTTTTATGGGAAAAATACATGAAGAGAGAATATTCAATATTGAAGGAATGATCAACATCAATACTTGGTCCGCAGATAGAAAACCTAGGGAGAAAATTCCATCGAAAAGAAAATAAAAAAATCGCGTAACCTAATCTCAATCAGTCACTTTCGAAGTGAAATTAAAATTTCGCGCTCATCCGACCCCGTCTCCTTCCCAATCACTAATTTTTGCATTCAGACATTTTTTTTATCAAACGAATAGTAAGATACTCCCCCCCCTCCCCGCAAAGGTATTTTTTATGAACCACAATATCGCTCCACGATTACCTTTCATAATAGTATATTTCGTAACGAGTGCAAAAAAGTGTTTTTTGGCGAGTGGGAGGTTTATATCACGAGCCGAAGGCGAGTGATATAATCCCACGAGCTAAAAAACATTTTTTCACGAGCTACGAACAATATTTTTCATCATAATGTGGCGGAAAGTGGACTTTTAGCCACGCGGAGCGTGCCGAAAAGTTCACTTTTCGTCACAGCGTGATGAAAAATAAAATTTGCCACACTTTTCTAGTCCTTTTTATTCAACTTTTCTCTCCGTGTATTAACACCCCCGTTGTCTACGATAGAAAGAGCCAGACAACGAATAGAGTAGCAATGGGGGAGGGAGGGGGTTGGATATATTCAACAATACTCCATTCGGTATTGCGTGTCCTATCGTCGTGTGCACATTCCCCTCGGGCGTGCACCACCACCACACACTTCATCCCCTCGACGTTTGTTGCTCCCTAGATACAAACTCCAGTCGACTAATAGGGGGAGTGGGGTACGGGGGGGTTGGACACACTGAGTTATAATGGTCGACAAATGTGTCGTGCATTATACACCAAAGGTGTGAAACTCCGAGCAAAATAACTCGGGTTTTAGCTCTCAATGACAATGGGATGAGGGCGAACGGGTGGGGATAGAGGGGTTGTGAAGGGACAGGAGGGGGGGGGGG